AAAATATTATTTGTAACAGATCAATGCTGTACTAGCTGTAGAACCATTCTCCTAAACCGTTCCTTAAACACTGTGGCGAGATTTTTCAAAGTAATTAATGGCTTTTTTCAGAAAACTTCCTTTAAGAAGAGCATGTTCCAGAAATGTGTTCTCTCACCTTAGAAAATTATGAAATACAGAATTTTTAAGTGATCTAAGACAGCACATTAAGTTACTTTCCCTCCTTCCAAGAGTTCTGGTAACTTCCCAGGTCCATCACATCTTCCTCAGTATTAAGAAACTTGGCTAAAGAGTTTGTTCAAGACAATTTTTAAAAAATCTACTAGCAATTAGCATAGTCTTCAAACTAAAAATTAAAAACGAGTTACTACTCCCTCAACATCGTGCTTAGTTCTGGAAGGGCCCTCCAGAGACTGCACGCTGAGTCACGACAGAACGCTTCACCTACAGAAGAGCAGAGTAACACTTAGTAGCTGTATTAGCCCTTCAGAGCAGGAATGGTCTTTTAAGAAGAATGAAGGGAGAGGAAACTGTAAGGTTGGTGCCCCATAAAGAAAATTACGGGGGGCTGGCGAGGTAGCTTGGTGGTCGAAAGCGCCTGCTTAGGCAGGCCCAGGGGACCGAGGTTCAATCCCCGGCACCACATGCCATGCCATCCCACCCTCAGGGCAGGCTGAGCAAGCTGAAAAAAAGAAAATTACGGGGCCAGGGAGACAGCTGAGCAGCACAAGTGCCTGCCTGGCAGGCACCAGGTCCTGAGTGCAGTCCTCACTGCCAAAGAAAGAGAAACAAACAGAAAAAACCCCCAATATGGTATCACCTCTTATTTGCTGCATTCCCAGCATGCTGTTTGTGGGCACAGAACTGGCTGCATCCCAGAAAAGTGGAACATGCTGCTTTCTCAATTTTGCTCGATAACTGCTTTCTAAAAACACCTTCAGAAGGTCCTTTTGAAGATAGCAATAAAACAGAAGAGTGACGTGGTTAAGATCAGCTGATTTGTGGATATTCAAGAATGTTCCCATTATAGATTAATATCAAAGGGGTTTAGTACACAGAGGCTTGCCACTTAACCTGCTCCCACGTTTCCTAGTAAGTGGCCTGGAGGATCTTTCACAATGGAGGTGATGGTTTGTATCTAGCTGTTCCCCCAAAGACTGGGGCACACATAGGTGGGCATTTGGGGGGCAATCAGATCATGGGCGTTGGCATCCACTGATGAGGGAGGTGCTGCCGGGTGGCAAGAGGTGGTCCCTGGGGGCGTGGCCCAGGCGGGCTACCTCCCTCCTCTCTCTTCGCCTCTCGGGGCTTCCCGCCTGCCACACCATGCGCTGTTCCCGCTCTCTCACGATGCTCAGCCCTGCTGCCCTGCCTTGGAGCCAGCTCACTGTGGCTGGAGACCTCGGCAAACCGGGAGCCAAGAGAAACCTTTCCTCCTCTGCCTGGTGCCAGGTACCCTGTCTTAGTGACGAGGAAGTGAGGCAGGACTCCCCCTTCGTCGCACAGCCTGTCTGAGTGACGGCATTTCAGGAACCTGGAGAGCACCCCAATCCAGGGCTCAGGGCTTCAGAGAGGAGAAAACGTCACAAACACACTGACGTGGCACCCGGTGCACACACAGTTCTATACTAGGACGCAGGGGCCACCGGAGAGAGAGGCTCTGTCCCTGTCTTCAGCCGCTACACAAGACCAGATGCCTTACAACTGGGGCAGCCAGGCACCTCCACTAAGGGCCAGAACTCAAGACAGAAGATAAAACCAATGCACCCACAAGCTTCCTGAGGATAAACATCAGGAGTTAATGTTCTAAATAGGCATCAATTATCGAAAGAAAACCAGAAAGAGCCACTGACCCAACCCCCTACAGGAAAGCCCCTGGTTTGTATTCATTCCCACTTGCCAATGTGACGTGCTTCCCCATTTGATGTCAGTTTAATCAATATCAACTGAGCACTTGTAATCTTATTGGCTGATCACACTTTTGTCCCACCCACACCTACCTCGCAAGTTCCCGTGTTTCCTGCCTAGGACCCGCTCCACATCACGGCTTTGCTCTGTAAAAATTCCTCAGCAACAGAGTCGGGATCCCTCTGTCTCTATCGCAGGCAGAAGCTTTTGTTCCCAGATAAATATATCCTGCTGTTAACCTCTGTTGTTCCTAGAACTCATTCTTCGGTTTTAGAGGGCATGAGCTCGTACCAGACGTCTAGCAGCTTGGGAGATTCTTCCCTCTATATCGACATCAGGACTAGTCCGATGGGGGGAGGGTGGAGAGACGGGGCAAATGCCCTGGAGAGGACACCCAGTCCCCGCTTCAGCTCCTACTCTTCACGGTCTTGCCTACTGTGTGTGTAAACTCCTTCACCACTGTTCTCAGGCGCCCACTGCTGTCATCTGCCAGGCAGCCCTGGCAGCTTTTACCTAAGTCTGCTTATGTGCTGCCCAGGTGGCTGGTTCCAGGGGCCCCTGGACACACACACGCGCGCACACACACACACGTGCGTGTGCATGAGCGTGTGCCCGTTAGCTATTATTGTGTTACAAATATACTCACATACTGATACCAAGCGCAGCCCAGGAAGCCCCTGCCTAACACACTTACTTCACAATTGCAGGTCCAGCCGCTTCTGTGAAGCCCACTCTCGTTTGCAAGCTCATTTCCATCTTAGTCTATCTGTTAGGAAGTCCTGTCTCAGGTCTAACTGCAGACTCTCATGCAGAATCCCAACATCCTTCTCTTCCAAATTTTCTTCTGAGGATCGAGAATCCTTGGACGCAAGTGACTGCTCAGCCCCTGGGAGGCACAACAGGTGGCTCTTCTCATGCTAGCAGATCAACCGCAGGCGGAAACACCAGAGCCACACCCAGGATTCGCAGACAGACTGGTTACGTCAGTGGGCACTGGTGGGCTCACTCCTGGAAAGCCAGCTCTGGCCGCTGGTGGTCTAGGGCTCATCCTGGCTGAACATGCAGGACATGAGAGGCAGTGTGGCTCGTCAGCTGGGGCCTGGCTTATTCAGTGTGCATCAGAGGGACCAGCGTGCGCCACAGTGGTGGGCTAGAACAGAAACCATGACCCGAGCAACTGAGAAACGAAACTGTGCTGCCTGGGGGTGGTAGGGGGCATTTTCTGCTACAGCAGTGTCAATTTCTATAGATTTCTCACATTTTTTAAAATCACTATTATAGTTCTCTAAGTCCTTCCCCAATTTCCTTTATTTTCCTTTGGCTAAGAAAAAACCCAAACTTGGTCTCACTCAAAACCAATAAACACAGCAGGGCAAGAAAGGGATGCGCCACGGCTCCCACTCACAGCATGTGTTCTGTGTACTAATGACACTAGATCTCTTTATTAAACCCACTGCTGGCTGCAGTGGGATCCCAGGGCCCCTTTTCAAAGGAGTGCTGGGGAAGAGGAAGGAGCGGGTGGGTCCCCACCAGCTGGGAGTACTCCCATAAACCTGCAACCTGGAGAACCTCTTTCATGACATTCCTTGGAGGAGAAGGGACTTTCCAAGACTCCTACGGGCTGGAAGCTGCACAAAGGGCTGGCTCCCATTGCTGGGTGCTCCAGTGACTGGCAACTCCTTGGGAGATGACCTGAAGCACGCTTCTCTCACTTGGGTGCCACCAGAGTCCTACAGTGTCTGCAGACCTGTGTTCTTGTTTAGTTGACATGGAGGTGGTAGATTTAGGGGTCTTGGGAGTTATGGAGGGGCTGAAATAGTCACCATCCCTGGGTGGGCACCATTCCCAAGTACTAGAAGCTGCCACTTTAGGGTTGGGCTTCAGAGAGGCAGAGCCTCAAGGTTAAAAAGTCGTCCTTTAGAATGTCGAGTTCACCAGCTGCTTCCAGTTAGATAAAGATATGGAGTGGTGCTCAGGATCCGGATGGAGACTCGTCTCTGCAGCAGCAAGCCCCTGTCCTCCTTAGGGGTGTAAACTGGAAAGCCTGCCTGCCAGGGCCTACCAGCACCGGAGGAACCCTACTGGTTTGGCCTACAGTGTCGGGTCCATTGGCCCCGCAGACACCAGGAGCGCTGTGGTCTCAGGGCCACCAGGAAGTCCCCACAACTCTGCTTCACCTCCCAGAGAACAGATTTCTAAAATGCACTTTCGAAGGCTGCCAGTGTCTTATAGGTTGAAGAAACATACACATAAATTTCACTGAGAGACAAAGGAATTTTGAAATACCAGCCTGTGGAAAGAAGAGTGAGGCAGAGCAAAGAGAAAGACAAAGGAAGAGAAAGAGAAACTGATTCTGCTATAGGTAGTTTAGGTCTCTACCAAGGGAGGCTCGGGTCAGATTTTATGGAAAATTCTGCTGAAATTTTATCGGAGGCATATATTTAGTGCTAAAATAAATCAACCAATCTTTCTTTCTTTCTTTCTTTCTTTCTTTCTTTCTTTCTTTCTTTCTTTCTTCCGCTTTTGTCTTTCTGAGGCAGGGTCTCACCTTGCAGTTCAGGCTGGCGTTGACCTCACTTGCAGCCCTGACTAGCCTCAAACTCCAAGTGACCCTCCTGCCTCAGCCCTCCCAAGTACTAGGACAGTGGGCGTGTGCCCAGGAAGGATTTCTATATTGAAAATGATGGTTTAACTTTCTCTGGAACAATGTAACAGCGAAGAGCTAATTAATGCATTCCTTTAGCTCCGCAAGAATTTGGCATTGTTTTACCCTCAGGGTAAAAGGCACAGCTTGTCTAAGAAAAAGGGAGAAGCACACACAAGCAGGAAAGGGAGGCAGACTGTCCCGAAAAAGACCAAGAACAGCCTACGAAGTAGTTCCTCAAGAGAATCATTCACTTCCCCTGCAGAGCAAGGTGGTATCCCCGACTTGTCTCCTAGATGGCAGTGTGATACGCAAGAGCGAGTATTCCAAGGCCCACGAGGTAGTTCAGCATTCGGAAATCAGGAAGAAGAAAGGCTCCAGAAACTTCACGGAGGTGGCTCTGAAGTAGAGAAACAGCTGTTTGGCAGACAGAAATGCTGCTACTCACCGGCTCCACGTCGTAGGAGAAGAGCGCGTATTCTCTATCGGGAGATACCTCATATCTGATGGCTTTCAGCGACTCCTAAAAGAAAAGAAGTTTAAAGTATTAGATATTGCTACTCATAATCTCGTAGAAAATCTGTGACGGATAACACTGTTTAAAAATTTGCTACTAATTTATGGGGTTGCAAACTAGTCACTGTAGCATCTATTAAAATGGCCAGGCGCCTGGGATAGCTCAGCGGTACAGCGCCTGCCTGGCAACCGCAATGCCCTGAATTCAATTCCTGTAACCCTTCCTCCTGCCCCACCCCAAGAGGCTAGATCCTTTCTTTTCTGACTAACTGAAAACCAATGCATTTTTTCCCATTTTATTTGCATTTTTCTATTTTCAATGAGACAATCTTTATTTTATTTCCTGAAACAGAAAGGTGCATAAACAATCTTTACTGGCAAGACCCCCAATCTCTCAATATATTTTTTCTCACATTATCATACTTAGAAGCATACATGAAGCAGAGTTCTTATTAAACAGAATGATATTTTATGAATCACTGTGCAACGTGTTTGTCTTCCCCTGGGGCACCTCTGCAAGTCCCCTCCAGAGGGGTCCCTACTGCTGTCCTCCCTAGCACACCAGCCATTGTCCCTAAGCAAAGTCACTGGGCACTGGCCCCTCTGACTTTCCATGCCCTCTGCACCCACCCACTCCAGGGAGCCCCTTTGCCTGCCTGGGGCCATCACTGTGTAATGTACAGGTGCCTGTGAGGGGACGTAGGTGAGTGACATGGTGCCGCCACCTCTGCACCTTAGCCTTCTTGTGCAACAATGCTGACAGAACGGCACGAGAAGTTGGGCTTGCCTGGGTTGATCCTTATGAGTTCCATCCCACCGGAGTTCCCCTCTCATGCCTTAGCTTCCTCAGGCCCCCCTGCAGGCTGCCAGCCTGACTCCCGGCGACCAGGCTCTACAGAATCGCTGCTGAGGCACACGCACAGAACAGCAGGCTGTGGGCACATCATCACAAAGCCAGAAGTCGCTTCATAGCCTGAAACTATGTCTGTGCTCCCTGTCAGGCAGCCAGCCCCAACTGGCTAGACCCAGATGTTCCCCCTTAATGACGTGTGAGTCAGACTGACTGTGTCCAGCTTGCATTTCAGAAACACACAGTGATTCCAACTTGCTTCAAGGGCTTCAAGGCCATTGGATTTGCGAAAGACGGGCCCAGGCAAGGGCACTTTTGCCTCTTCCTGCTCTTCTCAGACCCCTCCCTCCCAGAATGTCGCTGTACAAACCTGCCTGACAACGAATGACCTAATTCTTTATGCCATGTAACCAATCCTGAATAACCTACCAGCTTTCTACTTTCCACGTGCAAACTCTTTTCAAACTGAACTCAAGCCTGACTGTGGGCTGACGATTTGAACTTCGGGGTTCCCCAGCCTGCTAGCATACTAAGAGTTGCCTTCTAAGGCCTGGGAGCAAAGTCTTCCACTTGGATTGACGCTGGTTTTTCTGCAACATCACTATACATAGTAACTTAATAAATATTAAACCGCTGCTGCCGGAGGAAGGCCAGGATCGGTTTGTTCAAGCCTTTTCAGTTGCACTGTATGGACCAGTGCGACAGAGATAACCTTAGCTCATGGCGTCTCTGCTGCAAGGTGTCTTTCTGGCCGGCCGTTCAGCGTTGCCGCCTGGCGCTGAATGCGGGGCGCGCAGGGCTGCGGCTCCGCCCAGACGCAGCTCGGCTGACGCGCAAATGTTCTCCTTCACGCCTCACAGGCTTCCAGCACTTAGCGACATGGGGCAGCGCTTCAGCGCTTTGCCCAGGGACCCTGTAACAGTGGCATGTCCCCAGGATGCCTGTGCTGGCACTCAACAGACAGAGAAAGACACAGCGGTTGTTTATAGGCGGAGCAGAAAGGACGCCCAGCCCCGGCCACGTGCACGCGTGTTCCGCTGCTGTCTCAGAGGACGGCTGTGAAAGGCTGCGCCGTGCAAGAGGCAAGTGAGCAGCGAGCTGCAGAGGCCGCGAGCCCCGGGCGGGTGATGGGGGCCTCCCGGCTGTCCTGGCTGCTCACCATGCTGCCAGGAGGTGCTGGAGGGCTCGTGTGTGTGTGTGTGTGTGTGTGTGTGTGTGTGTGTGAGAGAGAGAGAGAGAGAGAGAGAGAGAGAGAGAGATGCCTAAGCACACACACCCAAGCCTGGCAGTCACACAGTATTGGTGAACAAGGTTTAAAAATCTAACCAGATGTTGCCAAGTCACTTTCCAGAAATGGTTTTGTCACAGCTGTCTCCACTGCCTATGTTTAACCATCCCTTTTCCCTCCACTGGAAATAGAGCTAGTATGCTTTGTCTCTCTCTCTCTCTCTCTCTCTCTCTCTCTCTCTCTCTCTCTCTCTCTCTCTCCATGTCCTGGGGACATGGCACAGGCCCTTTACACTGAGCTACATCAGCAACTCTTTTTATTTTGAGACAGGGCTGCACTAAGTCGCCCAGTTGCCCAGGCTGGGCTTAAACTTGTGATCTTCCTGCCTCAGCCTCCCGGAGCCTGGGGTAGCAGGCATGCACCACCATGTCCAGTTGCCCTAAGGCTTGGACACTCGGGCTCCACTGATCCGTGCTCATAGCTACCTATGACCCTCTCTGCTGCTGGGCTGGGCGATGGGGTTTTGTCCTAGAAATCTGTCCGGCCACACCCTTTGAAAGTACCTCTGTGCTCAGATTCCCCTCCCATTCTTTCTCACATGCCCTCCTGTCCTTGTCTGCCCACTGCTCCACCCAAACACATTTTCTCCAGGCTGCCAAGGTCTTGTTTGCTAAATGCCATAATCCTCATGGTTGTCCTACTCGACAGCAAATCCTGTCCTCCTGCATGGCCTCTGTCCACCCTGGCAGACTTTGCCTGCCCGGCTGTGTGCCTGGCATTCCCCTGACCTGTGAGCATCGCAGTGCGGACATTAGTATTGACACCACCTCTGGGGGAGACCGCTCCTTGGGTGACAGCACTGGCCTCATGGCTCCAACAGCCGAGCTTGCACAGGATCCAACCTCCCATCCCGCTGCTCCTGGGTGAGGCCTGACCTCGACCCTCAGACTGCATCCACCCGCCCCACTGGCAGCTCTCACCCACTGGGTGCCAAGGGGCAGGCTCACGTGGTGCCGGGCTTTTGCGCTTCCTTGTCTTCTTCCCTGTGTGGTTGAACACAGGGCCCCCAACCCTGGCCGCAGGCTGAGGCCAGGCAGGAGCCGGGCAGCGCGGCCAGAGGCGGAGAGCGCCAGCACGGGGCTTCAGTTGTATGACTAGCTCCTCCCTCATCTGACGGCACCCCGGCCCGAGCGCCACCTCCTGGTAGGTTAGCATCAGCATCAGATTGTCACGGGGCAAGGACCCTGCTCGAGCTCTGCATGCCAGGGACCAGGCTGGGCCCTGCTTTGAGTTGTCGTAAGACCGTCTCCTTCCCCAGCCTGCAGGCTCTGAAAAGCTGTCTCCCGTGCAACCAGTCTGTGGGGCCAGGAAGGCTGGGCTCCTCTTCCGAGCTTTCGCTCCTCTTGGCTTTCTCCCCCAGTGCTACCATCTAAGAGGGGCTTGCTCTGTGTACAGGGAAATCAGCGGTTTGCCTCGAGCTTTCCGCAGCGCCCCTCACTGATCCTTTCCCTAGGCTGCATCATTATTTTAGATAACAGATGCATATTTCTCTTATAGCCTACCCATTCCTTTCACTAGAACGTAAGCTTCTTGTGTCCTTTGTTTTCCCCCAGCAATATTTGCTGTTCATAGCATATAAGTCTTGCCATGTTTTGTTAAGTTTATCCCTAAGTACTTAGCATGGTTTAGGTTTTGTGCACACAGAACATGTGTGCTCCCATTGCAATCTGTGACTGTCTGTGCCTAACAGACGCAAGTAGCATGGGCACCCCACCTTGCTGCTGTGCTCCTAAGCTGCCACGCTGATCTGCCTCAGTAGATTCCTTAGAATTTTCTACCTGGCCCTCTCTTCTGTGGATGGCTTCTTTCTTCTCTCCCCACCTGAATCGTTTATTGCCCTCTCACACTCCAGAGAAGGACCAGCGCCTCAGCGAGCAGAGTGAGGTGGATGCTCTTGCATTATCCTGCCCTCAGGGAGGAAGCACTCGCTGGGAACCATCTTGTATATCAGCTGCAGATCTTCTCTGTAGAGGAAGCTCGTATCAGGTTGAGGACGATCCTGTCCCTTTCTGGTTCTCTCAGAGTTTGTATGATGAATGCGCACGGGAGTTTCTCAAATGCTTTCTACATTTATTAAGGTGATTATGAGGTCTTGCTTTTATTTGTCTGCCAATATGATAAATTCTACTATCTCTGCACTTGGCAAGCCAAGCTCGATTCCTGGAGTAAGTCGTGCTCTACCCTGATGGGCCTTGCTCTCCATCTGTTGCGGGACTTCCTCCTGTTCTGTGGAGGACTCAGCATCCACGTTCATGAGAGAAGTTGGGGTGCGGCTTCCTTTCCTCACACCATCTCTGCCAGATTTTCATTCAGGGTACTGCTGGCCCGAGAGAGAGTGGGAAGTACTTCTTCGTCCGCTTGTCTTAGATTTTGGTCCTCTGATGTTGCCATCACTAGATCCCTGAGGTGGGTAGCTCATACAGAAGGAAGGAGTGTGTGGCTCTCAGTTCTGAAGGCGGGGCAGACCCAGCTTGGAGCCTCACCCACTCGTCATCTGGCCGGCACCCTGCACTGGGCTGAGGATGGCGGGGGCACCCTGCGGAGCAGCTGGAAAGAGCCCTGGCCTGGCTCTCTGCTTCTTATGCAGCCACTCACGCCGCGATGGGCCATGACCAAGACCTCATCCAATGCTAGCTACTGGCTGCAGGCCGACTCCCAAGCAGATTAGCATGGGAGCTGGGAGTTTTCTGATACAGGAACATGAGGTGGGGTGGGGGACACATAGTCAGAGCACAGTGTTTTACTGGTTGTGTGGAACTGACATTATTTTCTCCCGAAATGCTTGGTAGAATGGATCACAAAAGCCACATGAGTCTCAGTTTCCTATTTGTGATTTGTAGGCATACATGCCTGGTTAGAGGCCTGTCCA